TTAGCTTTTAATCCCGTAGATTCACATAAAAACCTGAAGCCTTTCATTACATTTTCAATCATAGAAAAACAACACACAAATCACAATGTACCAAGTATATAATTATATATCAATATTGACGACGATCCAAACCTATAATCAGATATAAATATTTGTTCAGAATTCCAGCAGAACTATAAACATGTAGGAATAGCTAGTTAGACTGGAGAACAGTCATTATCAATATTAAACAGTTATAATCCGAAACACAACACTACTGGTAGCCACAGGTGGGTAGATGACAAGTTAACGTTCGCTTCCAGCAGAAGCTGATATCGTAAACTAGGTAGTTGATGGTAGTCGTAGTAGTTGGTATATTGGTTCAAATTGGATGATTCTGTGATGTTGGTTTGGTTGATGATTCTTCGTTTGAATACCACAGGCATTTCATGATTTACATGTACGCCAATCTTCGTACTGGTGGCGTCATGTGTATTGCACCTTCGGGATATGTCATAGTTTCCACTCAAATTTCACGTTAGAGCAGCCGAAAAAGACAACAATTTAAACGTTACCTGTAAGGCCAGAATCATGTGCTACAAAAACCATAAACTGTATACCTTGATAATGAAAACTTTAACAGTGATAACAGTTGGAACAGCTAGGAATAAGATCAGCTAAGTGTGAGTCAACTAGGTCTGGGTACAGCTCGGCAAGAGATCAGCTAGGAGTGTGAGTCAACTAGTTCTGGGTACAGCTAGGAGAGTGGTCAACTAGGTCTGGGTACAGCTCGGTAAGAGATCAGCTAGGAGTGTGGTTAACTAGGTCTGGGTACAGCTCGGTAAGAGATCAGCTAGGAGTGTGGTCAACTAGGTCTGGGTACAGCTCGGTAAGAGATCAGCTAGGAGTGTGATCACCTAGGTCTGGGTACAGCTAGTTATGAGATCAGCTAGGGGTGTGGTCAACTAGGTCTGGGTACAGCTAGTTATGAAATCAGCTAGGGGTGTGGTCAACTAGGTCTGGGTACAGCTAGTTATGAGATCAGCTAGGAGTGTGATCAACTAGGTCTGGGTACAGCTAGGAGAGTGGTCAACTAGGTCTGGGTACAGCTAGTTATGAGATCAGCTAGGAGAGTGGTCAACTAGGTCTGGTTACAGCTAGTTATGAGATCAGCTAGGAGTGTGGTCAACTAGGTCTGGGTACAGCTAGGAGAGTGGTCAACTAGGTCTGGGTACAGCTAGTTATGAGATCAGCTAGGAGAGTGGTCAACTAGGTCTGGGTACAGCTAGTTATGAGATCAGCTAGGAGAGTGGTCAACTAGGTCTGGGTACAGCTAGTTATGAGATCAGCTAGGAGAGTGGTCAACTAGGTCTGGGTACAGCTAGTTATGAGATCAGCTAGGAGTGTGATCAACTAGGTCTGGGTACAGCTAGTTATGAGATCAGCTAGGAGTGTGATCAACTAGGTCTGGGTACAGCTAGTTATGAGATCAGTTAGGTTGCATCTTCTAGGTGTAAGATCAAGTAGATGTGAGATCAGCTAGGTGTGGGTACGGCTAGGTGTGAGACAAGCATAGTATGAGATGAGTTTGCTGCAGGATTAGCTAGGATGGATCTCCTAGGTGAGGAATCGGGTGGATGTAGGATAACCTAGGCTTTGATCTCCTATGTGAGGGATCAGTTAAGCGTGGGATCATCTTTTCCCGGATCAGCTAATTCTGGGACAATCAGTGTACCATAACTCGGATTATAAAAGTAATCTGTATAATTAGTTGATTGAAATGTTATTGATTATCACCGACGTTGTGGGAGGTCGCAACTTTTAATGGCTACTGATCAGTAATTTGTGGTTGTTTCTCATTATCTACCAGTCAGTACTGGTTTCCTCGGAAGTCAGGTGTCCAGGTACAGGATATGACCTCTATTCAGGCAGTGGTTCCATCAGGTATAATTACTATCGACAATCAAATTTGCTTCAACAACAGCAATTAAATCAATGACTTCTACAAATATAAATTCTGCATGGAGAAAAATTTCTACAAGTGGGCCAATCCAGATAGGGACATGATCCGCACACATCCTTCAATGATATATATAGCCTTGCATTGCAGTCATAAATATGTTTAGTGTATATAAATGTAATTTCTTATTTAAGATATCTATGGTTGCAGTCGTGTAATGATATTGAGGAAGAGATTCAAAATTGTTGTGAACTACGCCCGTATGTGTTATTATCATGTAAGAACCTTACGTAGTTACATATGGGTGTCTACCTCAAGGCGTAAACTCACGTCTTTATAAGGTATGAACCCTTCTTCCCAAACTATTCTCACACCTATTTTCGTATTTGTCTATGATTTTAAAACCAACCCTTCCCAAATTTCTTTGTTTCTGATAGACACTACTTGTCAATTTTCAAATCTTCAAAAAATACTTTGTAACGATAAAGAAGTGTATATTAAACAAGATAATGAAACCACGTAATTAAGTAGACTCGGTAGTCTCGGATAAAGAAATTTAATAAGCACATTGTTCGTGCGCTGACTCATAACCTGTTATATTCTTTCAGGAGACCTAGTCGTACAATTTATACAGTTGAAAGGTCTTAGTATATAATTTGCTTATATAAGTTACATTTTGAAATCATGAAGGTAACTTTGAAAATCGTAAAAAGAGTAATCATGACCGTCTTAATAACAGTAATCATGAGTCTTAATAACAGTAATCATAACAGTCTTAATAACAGTTATCATGACAGTCTTAATAACAGTTAGTCTTAATAACAGTTATCATGACAGTCTTAATAACAGTAATCATGACAGTCTTAATAACAGTAATCATGACAGTCTTAATAACAGTTATCATGACAGTCTTAATAACAGTAATCATGACAGTCTTAATAACAGTAATCATGACAGTCTTAATAACAGTAATCATGACAGTCTTAATAACAGTTATCAAGACAGTCTTAATAACAATAATCATGACAGTCTTAATAACAGTTATCATGACAGTCTTAATAACAGTTATCATGACAGTCGTAATAACAGTAATCATGACAGTCTTAATAACAGTAATCATGACAGTTTTAATAACAGTAATCATGACAGTCTGAATAACAGTCATCATGACAGTCTTAATAACAGTAATCATGACAGTCTTAATAACAGTAATCATGACAGTCTTAATAACAGTAATCATGACAGTCTTAATAACAGTTATCATGACAGTCTTAATAACAGTTATCATGACAGTCTTTATGACAGTTATCATGACAGTCTTAATAATAGTTATAATGACAGTCTTAATAACAGTAATCATGACAGTCTTATTAACAGTAATCATGACAGTCTTAATAAGTAGTATATGTCTTTTCGGATATGACGCATTTCACTTCTGCGCATGCGCAGCTTTTTCAATGCGTCATATCCGAAAAGACACAACTGTTAAAATGTATTATAACAGACTCCCCAAACTGTTAAAAATGTATTATAACACACTCCTCCAAACTGTATCATAACAATGGTCAGCCGATTTAATCAACATGCCAGTCGAGAGAGGGTACAAGTATTGTTTGACGGTGATCGACTTATACACGAGATACGCTTGGGTCTTTCCCTTGAAAAACAAATCGGGTCTGACTGTCAAACAAGCATTCGAAACCATAATGAAACAATCCGACAGACGACCCCTAAAGTTGTGGGGTGATAAAGGAAGCGAATTCTACAACAGAAATGTGAAATCTCTGGGGTTTGAAATTTACAGCACGCATAACGAAGGTAAAGCCGTAGTGATAGAAAGATTCAACAAGACTCTTAAAAGCAAATTATTCAAGAAATTCACGGAATTGAAATCTCAAAAATGGCTTAAAATATTACCGGTTGTTCGACGAATACAATAACAAAATACATTCGTCTATAGGTGTGACGCCATCCCAATCCTCTAATAACCCGAATATCATAAAGTCCGTCAACACTCGAAACAACTTTGAAAACGAGATTAGCAATTTGAATATCAAACCCAAATTCAAAGTTGGAGATCGAGTTCGTATTTTTAAATATATATCATTGTTTCAGAAAGGTTACGTCGGGTATTGGACTAACGAGATATTCATCGTTGATAAAATAAATAGCACATCACCTCCCACGTATGAATTGATCGATCAAGACAAAGAACAAATCATAGGAAGGTTTTATCAAAATGAACTTCAAAAAACTGACTTTTAAAAATGAATCTCGAAAATGAAGATTTAGATGAAAGGTTAAGAAATTTAGATGTCGACAAGCATTTACGCTCTCTTAAATTAAGATTTTTTAAATTTAAATGTAAATTTATCTTCAAAATATTACTGAATGTGTTTTATCAGAATGTTATACAAGTTTTTTCAAACACAAACTACGTATATATTTCGTCAATTGGGTCTTTAGCAATACTTTCCGCCTACTTCGAAAAACACCTAAAAAAAATCGACTTAAAAAATGAATGCATTTCTCGATAAATACGGAAAAGACACGACCGCAAACTTTCAACTTGTGAAATGGGCAAAGAAGTTGAACGTCTCGCCGTTTTATTATTGCATGCGAGATGAAATTGATGAACTGAAATACAAGAAAGGTAAATTCTACGCCATCACAAACATTCATACTTCGGATCAAAAAGGAGTTCATCACTCTGCTTTACACAAAGATTCTTCGAATAACTTTTATTTCTTTCTCTGTCTAGAACCGACAGAAGAGGTAACGAAATTGACTAGCAAACCAATCAAATGTTCTACGTTTCAAATTCAAATGCCAGGACAAAAGTTGTGTGGACAGCTGTCGCTTTGGGTTTTATATCGGTTGAGTTTGGGAGAAAAGTTTGAAGAAATTATAATAAATTTAACTCAATAAAAATGGCAAACAAGTTTGGATTAGGGTCTTTACCTCTAGAATCTAAAAATCCCATGAGTTCTACGGCGTTTATAAACAAAGCGAAACCATTTTTCGTGGATCAAATCGGAGACACCTTACAAGGGGATTCGATATGAACAATTTCAAAATAACTAATCTAAAGTTTCCAGGAAACGTTAACGATGCCGTGAACAAGAAATATTTACTGGATCAAATAAACGCAATTCAAATAGATAAGGACCATGTTGAAAATAGAATAAATGACGTGAAAAGATACCTCAGACGAAATATTAAAAATCTTGTGGACGAACCCAAACTACAACAAGAGTTAACGAGTTTGAAACGTCTTATTCAAGTGGATAAAACAAGTCAGTTGCAAAATTTAATATCTAAATTAGACGATAAGATTACGAAGGTAAAAATAGACGTCCAACGTTTAATAGACAACCCAAATGTAAACGAGGATAGATTGAAACGAAAACTAACCGCTTTGGAAAGAAAACTTGGCGAATTGCTAGCAGAACTAGACAAGACCGCGGACAAAACCGAGTTACAAAATTCGATATCCAATTTGAACGAAAAGATCGCGAAGCAAAAATCAGATGTTCAAGATATAATTAACACACTTCCCATTGACAAAGATACGTTGAAACGACAATTGACTGCTTTGGATACTAAAATCACGGACGAATTAGAAAAAGAAGTCGGTGTGATTAAAAACTTTCTTCAAAATAAATGAGATGATATGAAAAATTATATTAAAGAACAGGTAAATCTTTTAGTATCTAGAATTCATGACGATTGTTTGAGACAAGAGAGAAAGTTGACCAAATTAGAAGCTATTGTCACGGACAAATCGTATTATTTCAATCTTCCATTTGAAAGCGACACTGTCTTCGATAGAAAAGACCAAATTTATAAATCAAACAAATACGGATTCAAAGCAGAAATAAAAGTAGGTACTCTCGCATACGGAGAACCTAAAAACGTATTCGATATCGGCGAAACGGAAGCGTTTACTTTTCGAGGTAATTGTCTGATTCAAATAGAGTTTCCCATGAAGGTTAAAGTCAATAAAGTAGTCTTCAAACAAACCGGTAATGCCGTCAAACATATTTCATTATTCAATGATGGTAATTTGGAAGAGAATATACGTTTGATTGATAAAAGGGATCAGGAAATTGAAACGAAAAATGGTAAATATGTAAACACCTTTAAAATGGAAGTAGAAAATGATAAGGATATCATTGGAATCAAAGATTTAGATATGATATTGGAGACGGAAAATCCACCATCAACCAACATTGACAAAATTCCACGACGCTTACACAAACACGGATCAATAGAATCGAGTAGTCACGAGTTTTTACGAACAACAGACTTTGAATACGTAAAACTGTATTTCGCTTTAGGTGAAAAATAAAAAGTCAACAAGAACGAGAGTTTATAGTACATTTATCGTTTGCCGAAGGTTCCGACTCCATCCTTGAAGGTGGTGGTTATATATTTAAAGCCAAGATAAACATCGAAAAAGAAAAAATAAAATATTCCTATCATCTTAACGAGGACCATACGAAAAAAGAAATGTCGTTAGTACGCGTAAATGTTTTTACTTTTAATACCCGAAAATTTAATAATAATGCTAGGCCAAACAACATCACTCTATTTGATATTCCGTGGTTCTATTTATCGGAAATTCACTTAATTTAACGACTTAAAAAAATGGAACTCGAAAGCAGACAACAATACATGATAGACAAACAAGAAGAGTTGAAAATAAAGTTGAGACAGTACAATTCATGCAGGAAAACATGGAGTAGAATCGATTCTGTTTTCAAAACAGCGAGCACAGTTCTAACGGTAGGAGTAACGGTGGCAACGGCCGTGACTGGTGGATTAATGCTTCCGGTCATCGTCCCAACCGTATTGGCTGCATTAACAGCCGTTCAAACGACTTCTTGCGGTCTCATCACTTTAGGTTTCACGAGCAAAAAGAAAGCTCATTATAAAAAGAAAACGGATATCTTGAATATGTATCTTAATCAATTGTACATCTTTTTCGAAAGATCGAGAGAAGACAAGAACATAACAGTTGAAGAATTACAAGAATTCACTGAAATTTTGGACAAATTCCATACAGAAA